TGCTTTATTTTGTTAGTAAGTAGAAGTGTGCTTGGCATGTTATGGTAGCTCTCGTTTGTATGTATAAATGCAAAGTGGTGATTTTAAAAACTTGGGGTGGTTTGATAATAGTTAAGTCACAAGAAAGTCGTTTGGGTGAAGTTGAGAGTTGAATCTAGAACGTTTTATACCCTAGTTTAACCGCGGTGACGTGTTGCTTGTCCTTTCGTGCTTGTAAGTATCTTTGCGTATGCCTATTTGACTTAAGCATGCATTGCATTTATGCATATCATTTAGGAACGACGATGGATTGTGGAATCAACTGGAGTAGCTGAAAAGATGGTACTAGGAATCATGTCACGAAGATGGAATGCTAACTTTTTTTATATTTTACCTAGGCAAGCCCCGATGCATAACCTCTACTTTTCTGCACTTTATATTATGTTTGTGCATTAAGTTTTAATGAGTTGAATGAAACCCACTTGCTATATCATATAAGTCTTACTAGTATGACAGGATCGTGTAGATTGCTATGCTACAGGACTCCGGTAGAAGTCGAGTGATTGCCTATCACTCGCGAGAGATAGAAAATATATTATTGTTGTTACTATATTATTATCACCTGGAATATATATGAATGATAATTGGAGACTGGGTGGAATGGTGCTTTGGATCTGGACTTGGTTTGGCATTCGAGCGAGGCTCGGATTGTATTTGTTCCGCCTGTGTCGGTTAAAGACCGGCCGTTGCATTGGGTTCTAGGTAGGTCACAGACTTATTATCCTGAACACATACTTGTGTATGGACGCGGAAAGACTCATTGCTCTTTTGTCATGGGTTCTGGCTCTTTCCGGACCGACTAATTGGAGGCGGGGATGGTGGAGGTCTAAGCACCGCACTGAGTCCGGGACTCAGGAGCGGGGGCTTGGAGTCTAAGTTTGGACGGGGACCTGGACCCCGTGACAGGAGGGTAGTTGGTTGGTCTTGCTTGTGCCTGGGGTACAAGCAGGGCGTGTATTTCAGGATACCCAGCTGGGCACATTGATTTACGAATCGCGGGGCGATCCGGTACGACTTGTCTACAATCTAGCACCGTAGTAAAAACTGAAAGATAAAATATGGTAAAATGATTCTGATTGCTTACCACCTGCTTGAAAGTAGCACATGTGCTTACATAGAATTGTTAGTTAATGAACTAATGATGACTGCTAATAAAATTGAATATAAGGGCGCATGTTTAGTAATGTTCCTACAGATGTAATAAACCCACAAGTCAGGTAGCCTTGCATATCCTTGGAGTCTTTTCTTTCCTCCTGTCGGATAAGTCTTGCTGAGTACAATTGAGTACTTATGATTTTATTTCCCCCCTGTTGCAGGTGACAGGTGGATGCTAGAGATGGCTCTTGTGTGTGGATTCCTCATGGTGGTCTCAGAGAGGATTCCTTTACGCTGTGATCATAGTGTTTATTTATAACTCTCACTAAATATTTTTATAAATAGAAGTTTTATAATATGTTATCATAGTTTATATATCAATGTTTCATCATGTTATGAATAGATATTTATTTTCGCTGTAACTCTGATCTCATATTTATATTTCGCTGTTAAATTAAATTGTTCATAACTCTAATGTTGTATTAAAAGTGATGTAAGAAATGGTTAATAATGATGTAAGCTTTATTCTCTCATTTGTGGTCCTGATGAAAAAATGAATTTTCGGGTTCTCCCTTTATGTGTGCTCGTGAAGCGCGTAATTTAGCGTAATTTAGTGTCTAATAAAAGACAAATACTTAATACTTAGTGTCTAATAAAAGACAAGCTGCAACAATGCGAGCTAAGATACATTAGATTAGATGTCTGGTGGCTACTCTACACGACATTTATTTTGTCTGATACCAGCCAGACACCAGCTAATAAGCGTCCTGTTATTTTGGCTGATAAGGTACGACTGAAAGTATCGTTGACCGATTTATTGTTAAAAAAAAATACTATTCGTTGACTAAAAAATACGGCTTATAAGCCAAACAAACGGACGAAGAGCCGCTCGTCATCATACATACAACGAGAAAATTTAATTAAAACGGGGCAAGTAGCAAGTGATATACTCTGTTACGTACATCGGATGATTCGTCGGGTGGCGATCGACGGATCGTGCAGGCCAACAAGGCTCGAGGTCGAGGTGGGTTACCTGGCGTCGTCCTTCTCGTTTGGCGTACGTCGCCCCGTTCCCCCTCGGCCTCCATGGCTTCCTACGAGACCTTCACCGGCCTCCTCCTCGTTGCTTGCCGTTAAAGAAACCGACCCGGTGGCCAGCCAATGCTCGTGCTCGCAGGAGGATTTCGTAGGCCCGTCTGACGACTGACAGCGACCGGCGGGTTATTAGCCCCGTTGTTAATGGCCGATCGACGCGCGCTGGAAACTAAAGGGAGAATAAACAATGTTCATGGCCGGGGACCGCCCGGGGATGAAACCGGAGATGTGGGACGAGACGACGAGTAGAAGAGTATTTTGCGAGCTCTATCCGTTCTGGATTGCTTAGAGGACAGCTTGGTAATTAGCGGAAGGGTCGTCGGCGGCATGCCCATCGGTTGCTGTCACAAGTTGCGTGTTCTGGTATTCGTCTTCGCCCAAAGGGAGTTTCAGAAAAGTGCAGGCTGCGGCAGCTCCTTGCGCCTCCCAACGGACGATTCCGTGTTTCAACTTTCAAGCTACTCAGTGCGCACTGTCGTGGAAATTAATCTCCTGCCAGTTAGTGATAATCAACCACGTTGGCGTTGCAAGTTGATGAGGATAATTACTCAGCGAACCAAGTTCTGAAACCGGATTTGCTGTCACGAGAACAGAAAACAGGGCCACTGATTTGCGCACCACAGTGGATCAAGAACTCCGAAGGAGAGGTCAAGGCCAACGTGCCTTAAAAATTTGCAGTGCTTTCTAGGCCAGCACGGGGCTTCGTCGACCAAAGGCTCTCGCCACGCCGGAAACGTTGCATGCTGACGTGGCACCGGCGGTTCACTGCCGTCTGCCCTAGCCTGCCTTGTGGATAACGAATGAAGACCCACATTTCCTCTACTATATCGTTAAAAAGAAAAGACCCCCGATCATCTCCATGGTCATCAACTCGGAATTAGTAGGCACTTTCATGGAATCTGCTTGTACTAAGTTTCTCGACAGGATATAGAACGGGGGAAATAAATGTTTTTTGTTTCCACCGAACCGTGTAACCGCGTAGCATAAGTCGGCTACGGCGTATGAAAGTGGCAGGTCTCAGTTAATGAATCCATTAGCAAATTGACGACGACGTTTGTTGGCACAGGAGACGACGACCTTGTTAATGACTAGAGCATCTCCCAGAGTTCCCTAAACATCCTTCTAATGCTTGTTTTTTTAGAAAGATGGAGAAAAACCTCTCTCCAACAACTCCTAATATTTACTCATAATCTTTTAGGACTTGAGAAATTCCTCCTTCTTCCGCGTAACTTTACGCAGACGAAGCAACACGCGGAGACGTCGTGCACCTCCCTGGCGCCGGCGCGCTCGTCGCGCCGCCGCCGTTCGGCACGCGCTCTGTAGCACGGCCCCCCACTCCGCCTCCACCCGCGCGTGCAGCGCCCGCACGCCCTCCGGCGCCAGCTGCGCCATCGCCGCCACGAACTCGCCCTCGCCTTCTCCTCCTCCTCCTCCTTCTTCGACTCCACTGTTGTCGTCGTCCCTCCCCACGTCGCCATTCATGCACGGCAGCTCCACCTCTTCCTCTTTCTCCTGCTTCGACGGCATGGTGGCCAGCAGCAGCAGCGCTAGCTGCTAGCTAGGGCTCTCTACCGGCACTGAGATTGAAATGACGTTAAATGGGACCATCATTTGATGTTTTAGAAGTCAAATATTAGGAATTATCGGAGATGAATTTTTTTTTCTCCTAAAACCTTTTTAGAGTTAACCAGCATAGATTTTTTTGAAGTAATATTTGGAGAACTCTTGGAGATGCTCTCAGTACGCTTGGCCGGCTTTCAAATTTGAACCCCTAGGTCCTTGTTCCAGCTAGATCGCTCGGCGTGCGCCCGCCTGTCCACACCTGATCAACATCGGTGGCAAAGCAAGGTACGCTGCGCTGGGGTGGCCGATGCGGGCAAGCAAGCAACTCCCGCGACCAGTAGCAGCAAACAACTACGCCAACTAGGCGTACCTAGCGGCTAGGCTAGTAGGCTTAGTTAGGCCAGGCCATCAGCCGACGCCACCAACTCGCGGCGACGACGGCTCCAGGCCGATGCGGTGCCGCGCGCGCGGACGTACCACCAGGCCACGCCACGCCGTCGCCGTTCGTTACGTTTGCGGGTGGGGGCCGGGCTCGGGGTGGTCGCCCGAGAGCGACAGGGAGGACGCCCACCCAAGTGGGGGAAGGTGGCAGCACATCCAGCGCTGATCTCTCGCCCTCGCCGAGAGAGAGAGAGAGAGAGAGAGAGAGAGTGGACGCATCGTCAAAAAAAAAAAAGGATGGTATGGAGAACAAGGAGGGGCGGGCTGGCGTTGTTGCAGGGGCTTATTATAGTCCATTGGAAACGAGACTAGAAAGGGTCATGCAGCAGCTGTCATCCCACACCCGAACCCCCCTCTTCCAGCGCAGCGCACAGCCACGGCCGTCGGCCCCTCCACCTCCACCTCTTTGCTCGCCTGCCATCGTCTCCTCCCTCTCTCTCTTAACATATCCTGCTCCATCTCTTCTGAGTTCCGAGGGAGAGGGACCTGGAGGTTATGGAAGTAGTGGAGAAGTATACTAGGAAAGCCAAGAGGAGGGAGGAGCAACCGCAGGAGGGCAGGTCTTTCTACGACCCAAGACGGCTAGGCCGAAACCACTAGGAAAGAGTCAGGATTCAGGAGTCCGGGTCTAGTCTGCTGCTCGTCCCGCCCGCAAACATCGATCGGAACCAGCCTAAGCCCAGAGCCCTGCGCGCTTCCGCACCAAAGTGGAGGGGAGACGAGACGAAGACGACAGCAAATACGGTACGGTGCTTTGCGTGCGGCGGATGGCGGCTTCGTCCTCGTCGTCTGGCCCGGGTGGGTCCCCGGCCCACGCGCCTCCGGGCGGCGGCGGCGGCAGCGGCGGGGGGCCGTATCACCACCGGTCGCGGTTCGGCGACACGACGTTGACAAAGGTGTTCGTGGGCGGGTTGGCGTGGGAGACGCCGTCCGAGGGGCTGCGCCAGCACTTCGAAGTTTACGGCGAGATACTCGAGGCGGTCGTCATCACCGATCGTGAGACCGGCCGCTCGAAGGGCTACGGTTTCGTAAGTCGACCCCTGCCTTTTGCGGTTTTGCCTCTGACCTTCCTCCGGCCGATCGGCCGCCGCCTGCCTTATATATCAGATCGATATGATGCTTACCAGATGTATTATCCATCTATCTATTTTTGTCCTCCGTAGGTGATTTTCCGGGAGCCGGATGCGGCGGCGCGGGCGGTGCAGAACCCGAACCCGGTGATCGCCGGCCGGCGCGCCAACTGCAACATTGCGGCGTTCGGCCCGCCGCGGGCCGCGCAGCAGCCGAGAGGAGGTGAGCGACCCGAGGAACCAAACCAAATCAATGCTCCTCCTGCTGTCTTTTTTACTTTCCTTGCCCTCGCAAGGCACGCGCATGTGCATGGCAGTAATAACCGGGGCATGATTAGCGCCGGCGGCAGTACCGCGATTAACCGGATAAGCTTGATTTAGGGCACCATGTTCCGCTCTGGATTTTCCTAGGGGGAGGGGAGATTATTGGCAGATGGGTGGGGCCCACCCCAGCCCAGCTGGTGAAACACTGGGCGCCAGCACACGGGAACAAGGACGGCCACTGGCATGTTTAGATTCCAAAAATTTTTAATCCAAAGTGTCACGTTGAATCTTGCGGTATATGTATGGAGTATTAAATATAGACGAAAAAAACTAATTGCATAGTTGGGTGAGAAATCGCGAGACGAAACTTTCGAACCTAATTAGTCCATAATTAGACACTAATTATCAAATACAAACAAAAATGCTACAGTAGCCAACCAGTACCCAAACCCAAAAAATTTTGGGAACTAAACGCGCCCTTATTATATCTGCATTGGGACGAGGGGAGGAGGCAGGCACTAATCAACCATGGCTGATGGCTCACGGCTTCCATCACGAGTCGTTATGGTCTCATGGCTGTGTGCTAGCCCAGGCTGGCCTTGCAGTGGCTGCCCCCTAATTCGCTGCACTCCTGCACGCTATCTGGTCTACTCACCCCATCCCCACCCCGGCACCCCCACCACCTTGTTCAGTCTAGGATAGCAATGAAATCTGGCTGACAATTTCTTACTTAGTTCCAAACAGAACCTAGCTGGTGATAAATTAGTCTAGGCATCTCGGTGAATTGAAGTGCAGGTACAACCATCTCTCATACAAGATGCATGGATTCTGGTAGCATTTTGGCCGAATGCCGGTGACGGAAGAAGAGTGCGGGTGGGGTGGGGCTGGTACTATTTCCCCCCCTTTGCTTGCTGAGGAAGATCAAGTTGCATTGACCGGGAGCACGCCATTGGTCGTATGCTGCATCGTTCCAGCGACAGTGAGGTGTAAAGGGGTGGAGATTATCGCTGGAGAATCAGGAATCCAGCCGCCTTTCTTTTCTAGTGAAAACCGATGCATGGCTTTACAAAATGTTCGGCAGCATATACTACCAGTACTACTACTCTTCCTGTAGTCTTTCCAGACTTTGACCCGTTTGAGTGTCAACCACTGGAGGAATAGATGCTTGATTCTGCGGCATGAAAAGCTTTGTGCTGATGTAGCTTTTGCTCCCCGCCCCCCCCCCCCCCCCCATCCAATTCGTTTCAGAGTAGTTTTTACATTCCTTCGTTTCAATATTTGCCTCCCAATATATACCGCATCTCCTTTTTTTTCTAGATAATGGATAGAAAAGCATCTCCTAACTTGGAATGTTTTCCTCTTTATTTCCCTTTTATGTGATAACTATCATAATGTTGCTTTTCAAGTAAGCTGGTTTATAACGGCATTGGTCTTTATTTCTCCTTTTTCACAGTGAACAACCTTCATGCTATTTCTGCAGAACTGTTTAGTGCATTACAGCGCGCACACAATAATGCAACACCAAATGGAGTAGGTTCAAGTGCTGGCTAGCTAGGACAGCTTTGAATCATTTAGCACTGTGCTAATCTACGCAATGCTCACGTAAAGAGACCTCTTTCTCTATTATTCGTAGTAGACCAAATACAGTGCAGAACAGATTGTTTTTCCTTTTTTGAAGGAATTGCATCTTTTTTATTATCCAAAACATATGGTTTAAGCAATCATATGCTGAAAGAAAATCAGAGCCCGTCTTGCCAGTCAAAACCCCAGTCCAGCGCAGGGCACATGGTGAGACCTCCCTTGCACAGGCTGCATAACTGTTGTCGCAAGCAATGCTCCCCTGTCCGTTATACATGCATGCATACGCCTGCTCTGCTCTGCACTGTTCTGTACTGCTCGGTGTATTATTTCTTTGGTGCATGTTGCGTTTAATTAACGTGCCATTGCCACCACAGGTAGAGGAGGAGGAGGTGCCGGCCGCGGGCCGCACGTGCCGGATCAGCCGCCGCAGTGGTCGCTCTACACGATGCCGTCGCAGATGACCCCGCCTCAGGCCGCCACGGTGTTCTACAATTCCCAGTACGGGTGAGTGCTCCTGTCGCCTATACGTTTCAGCTGTTCCCCCTCTTTAAAATCTCTGGAGCCAGGCCGTAGAAATACGTACAGCAGATCGCCAGATCCATGTACGGCTCAGCCGAGCTGAGCTCACGATGATGCGCTGGTGATATGAGCATTGCCAGATTGCCTACGTACGCGTGTGTTTGTAGCGAGTGCCGTATGCGTACGTACGTGGCTGTATCACCGCAGCTGTCCATCGTCATCGTGGGATCCGAGCACACCGCAACTCTGAATTATCAATTGACAGGGGCGGCACATGTCCATTTCAAGGCCGTGTCATTCTGTTCTCTCTCACACTTCTTGCTCTGATCCGGAGAGGATAGCCATCGTTACTCGTTAGGCCGTGACAACTCCCTATCGTAGTGGCTGCCTTTGGGTATTTGGAAGTTCAGAGAGCCGCAGCCATATGAATCGTCAGAGAATTTGCATGCTGAACTGACCTTAGGGCAGTCCCAACGGTGCATTGATGATGGTTTCTATCCTCATTAAATGACTTGCCATGTAGGCAAAATGCTGACATGGCAACGTAATTAATGAAGAAAGAGAGCAAAAATCATAGAAATGGTTTCCTCATGAAGAAATCAGGTCTACTCTTGACCCAATGCACAAAGAAACCATGAAATCGTCATTGGGGAGAAACCACCAGTTTCTAGGGAGCTCGTGTCACACTTTCATTGGAGGAAGAAGATAGAGTTGGGAGAGAGAAAGAGAAAATAATTATTACTCATAGAAACCATGGGTTGGAAAGTAGACCTTTTTTTTTGTACGGTGTCCTATGTTATAGAAACTACTGGTTTCTTTCGTTGGGACTGCCCTTCGAGGCCAGATAGAGTTGTGATAGAAAAGAAAGTTATTGAGCTGCTCTTTTGTGGGAGGAGAACAACAAAAGGTCATTGGTCTTTGTTGATGTTCCATTTACCGAGCTAGCAGCTGACATCTGCGTGCGTTTCACTTTCACGGAACCGAGGGTCATGTTTCTTTCACGGCGCAGCTTTCAGTTATCGTTTCCTTAATTGGACAGGTGGGTTCAGTTGCCAAGAGTTGCAGATGGACCCCACGTGTCCCCATGCCTCTTCTGCTGGGCCCTGAGATTGGCCCATTAAATTTGGGCCGATGGGAGGGAGACAGCAGCTCAGCATGGGCATTCAACTCTGGTGGTCCCGCTACTGCCACCCTCTGTTTCCTTCTCTCTTACCCCAGACAGCAGACCACCATGGGCTGTGTTGCCTACCCTGCAAACAATCTCTTTACTTTGTTGGTTTGCTGAATAGTAGTTGATTGCCTGGATTCATCTCTTAGTTCCACTTGGTTTTAAAGATATTTGCAAATATGTGCTCCGTACTAATCCATTGGCATGGATCATATAGGTGTAGTACTCATTAGAAGTTGCAGTAAGATTTCTTGACCAATTTGGTACTTCATACTTCTTTCTTTGCTATACGAGTTACTCTAGTTGCTTTACAAGATAATTCTCTGAGATCAAGTTTTGGAATTCAGGATGGTATTTGTTTAATTTATTTAATCCCTAGTGTGGTGAAGTATGCTTTCATGTTTATTTGGAGTTCCCCTACCTGACATTTTATTTGTTGATGATTAGTACTTCTGATGTGATCTTGCCAGCTAGTCAGATGTTTTTAGGTTGCTGCAAGGTACAGAAGCATTGAACATCAATCAAATTTTCCTCATAAACTATTAATACCAAGTAATATGATGCAAGAGCTGAAAAGGGGGGCCTTATTTTAGCTCGACATATAATAGTGCTTGAGATAATTTTTAGGCTTTACAACCATGCTAGCAGGTAGATATGTCTCTAGGAGTGAGAGACAGCGATGGGCCTCATGCTCAGCGCAATCACTATATTTCTTTTGTAAGGCACTGAAGATGTTCTGCAAACTTTTGCAGGTACTGGTACCCACCTGATTATCCATACCAACAGGCAAGCAATCCAGTCTCCATTTCATCCCCTCCCCTTCAATGTCATTTTTGTTGTTTTTTGCAATAATTGGCATTACTACATGAATTATTGGCTAAATCACACTGTTTACTTGCCATGATCTGAAACTATGAATTCAGTATTGAAACTTCTCATCTTTGAATACAAAGTATTTTAAGTAATGAAACCTGGCGATGTCTGCGTGATAGGGCCTTTGTTTATTGGTCATAAAACTCATCATGCATTTTGTACCAGAATGAGACACTAGTACAACCTGGCAATCTAACTGAAACCATGAAACCTGAAAATTGATGAGCAGGCATTGTACAATTCTCAAGTGCTACAACATTACTACCCTCAGATGTATGGTCCAGCCTCTCCTTCAGGACCACCCTACCAATACATGGGGTATTTGCCTGGTGGCCCAAGTCCAAGGACTGGATTCTCGCCGATGCAGCAACCCATGCGACCACCGTTCTTTCAACAGCCAACGGCACAGATGGATGGTTCTTTCCCACCAGGGCCGTCGCTTCCGCCTAATTTCAGACTCCAGCTGCCCCCTCATGCAGTCTCAAGGGAATCTGATGATGCATCTGGTATGCTACTCCAATCATTCTTAGTCAGTTAGCGTGGTGTTTCTTGCTGAAACCTGGGAAACAAACACATTTTGGTTTAATAATTCTAATGTTGCAAGGTAACTGTTACTATAAAATCTTGGTATCATAAAGTTATGCCATTTTTTGACAGTTGGATGTAACATATGTTAATTGCAGAAAAGAACTGTAAACAATCACTTTGTTTTCAATAAACTGATATCTTACCGCTGGCATTCTTAGCAGGCTCTCAGTCAGCTCAGCCAACTTCTTCAACTCCAGCTACCATCACAAACAACCAGGAAGATTCAAGGCCTGTAGTGTCAGATTCAGATCCAAACACACCAAATTGACTTTCTGAGAATCCTGGCAACATGATCTGATGTCAATCTGATACAGACTATTGGTGGTCTGTAACAGAGTCCATGATACTCTCACATCTTGACTGAAAAAGTACCCAAAGATTTGTTCTTTCATTATTTCTAATAATTCTTTTTTGAATTCTTGCATTGCATTTTTTCACCAAATCCATTGTACGCCCGACTGAATTTCAAGTTCAAAATTCAGGAATTCGCTAGCATAAGTTCCGGTGGCATGTTAGTGTTCAAAGTACTGCCTTGCTGTTAATTCGTATCTCAAGTTCAAAATTCAGGAATTCGCTTGCAGTACAGTTTTTCATGAGGAGGCACCCAGTTTTATTGCAACAAGAACATTTTTTTTCCTTCGATCGAGCAACGGCACCAATTTCTACTTCTGTTCTATTATAAATGATTCGCTGTTCGTTCTTTAGTATGACAGGTGAAACTACAGGCTTACCTGAGAATACTGACAAGCAAGCTTGCATCTTCACTCTGAATTCTGAAATTGACATGTTCATGCGACACCATATTTTCTACTGTGAAACCGACCGTCATCAAAGAAAGAAATTCAGTACTTATACTTACATAATAGTACAAATTTACTGGTAACATTAAACTTTGGAATTCACATGCATGTACTGTTCATATTATTAGCTTGCAGCTGCAGGAACATTTCCTTCGACCAAACGATCAATGTTGACGCTCGAGGTCCCGCCGCCACGGCCTTCTCCTTCCACATTGTTGCTTTCGCCTTCATGTCTTTGCCTTTGTCACCGTCCATGGCTTCTTTTATGAGCCGTGCCACCTCCTCCCTCGTGACATTGTTGTCAATCTCCAGTCCAATTTCCCAGTTGGTGCAGGCATATCGGCAGTTGGTCATCTGCTCGGCGAAGAACGGCCAGCAGATCATCGGCACGCCGGCGCGTATGGTCTCCAGCGTTGAGTTCCACCCAGAGTGCGTCAGGAACAGCCCGGTGGACGGATGCGACAGGACCTGTTCCTGCGGGCACAAGCTGAGGAGTGAGGAAGAGCCCTCTATCTCTCGTCTCAGCGTAGAACTCCTCCGGCAGCATAGCCATGTCGCCGGTGACGAGGTCCGGCCTGCCGCAGCGCGCCAGGGCCCACGCAAACTCGGCGAGCTGAGCCGGCGTCATGACCGTGATGCTGCCGAAGTTGACGTACAAGACCGAGGCCCCCCGCAACACCCCCCCCCGCCCCCCCGGGCGTCCAGCCACCGGAGGCAGCTCAGGTCCTCCTTCCACAGGCTGCCGCAGATCGCAGCCGCGTCGGGGCGGACCATGGTGCCGGCGAACGTGAGGAGCGGGCCGATGGTGTACACGCGAGGGAAGATGCGGCGCAGCGCGTCGAACGTGTTGAGGATCATCCCCTGCGCGCGGTGCGCGTTCTGGGCCTCGTTGCTGTCGGAGTGCACCATGAAGTCGTCCGGGTCCGTCGTGCGGATGAAGCTGGGCATGTCTCGCAGACGGATGCCCGGCATCCCGGGCACCCAGTCGAGCACCGTGTCCAGGTACCCGTTGGTCAGGTAGCTCTAATCTGCAGTATGCGCAACACATAAATACATGTGAGCAAGCTGTTGCGTATGCCTAGCAACGAGTGAGCGCTTGATTGTCGACACAGCTATAAAGGCAGCTGGACATATGGCCGCCGTACCGTACCTTTGAGTGGCACGTAGCCTCTGTCCATGAGCTCCTTGTAGTGGAGGTACCCCATGAAGCCACACGCGCTCATGGTGCAGAACACGACCGCCAGGATGCCCATCTCGTTGGCCACCCTCTGCGCGAAGCTCATGAAGTTGTCTAGCACGACGCAGGTGACCGGCGGGCGGGCCGGCAAGACGTTGAGCCTCGTCAGGAGGTCCCTAAACGGCTACGCGCCGTTCCGGAGAAGCGACTCGAAGAGCGTGGGGATGTCCTGCGTGACGTCGTCGTCGTTGCCGGATGGAGGCAGGCCGTCGGGGATGGTCTCGAACCGGAAGTCGTCGAGGCCATCCAGCGAGCCCGCGCCGCGGGACCGGAGCAGGCGGCGGTGGCTGTACTCGGTGTTGACGTAGGTGACGAAGAAGCCCCTTGAGTGCAGCACCTTGGCGAGCTGCAGCAGCGGCCTGACGTGGCCCTGCGCCGGGTACGGGATGAGCACCGCGTGGGCGCGCGCGTTGGAGCCCATCGAGGGATGACGCCGCTGTATGTTACCGCAGATGATGGACGTCCTGGGAAGGCGTGGCGATGGTCACCATGAATCAGTTACGGCATGTCGGGATATTAGTAGTATATATGGTGCGAGGGACGGACATCTCCAGCGGAGCAGACAGAAACTGATGAGAAAAGCCAAGGCGCTCGCGATCAAGGACACGACGCAATCGATACGGCTCTTTGGATCATCGCTCACCACCTCATTTTTTTTTTGTGTGTGTGTGTGGTCATTACACCTCTGCTCCAATACATCACGTAACTAGGCTATCAGAATTCAGATAGTGCCGGATAGAGAGCAACACGCGAATGGGCATGGTGCCGTCGCGCCGATACGTGACTCGGAGAGCCGCGACGAAGCAGTCGCTGACGCTTACAGCGATGGCTAGGTTTTTTTGTCCCGGCGCTGGGCCTTGATTGGAGCAGACACGGTCCACGGCAATCGGCAACCATGTGCCGGGCTGCCGGCGTCGACGTCCTGGAGCGGCCAACATCCATGGAGTCTGAATCAGTAAACTACTAGGGTGCGTGGCCGTGTGGGAGAGTAGAAACTGCTATTGGTGCACTGCCCACAACAGGTCAACAACTAGGGAACACGAATGGCGCAACATATATCACCTTGTTCGCTTGATCGTATCAGGCATGCTTATCAGCTATGATACAGTGTTTTTCTCTCACAATAAAACAGCATTAGCCGGCTTATAAGCCCTAGAAACGATCAAACGAACAGGGTGATAATTAATTTAGAGGGACAAATGAACTATGCTACCCACAAAACACCACGCGGTTATTTTGGCGACACTGATCATCTCCACTAGCCTTATACTTCTGCATTAGTTTACGAGTGAGCGAGATGCGGGGGAGATTGTAACTGTAACTGACAATTGTTATTTTTGCAGGTAGTGATGGAGATTTAACATCGAATACAGGAGCCGGTGGCAACGGGACCAAAAGTGCTGAGATTGGCCGATAAGGAGAAGAGTATTGGGCTCATTTGGTGCACTGGTGGATGATCAAATTTGTTCGGCCCATAAGTCCAGGCTCCACCGTTGCATTTTTTTTCTTGTATATACTACATGCAAACGTCATACTGTTATCAAATATTAACGTGGATGTCCATAACCCCTATACCATCAAAGCTACGACCTTCTACATCAATAGTGTAACTTTCCTAGCATTAATTCTTATAACTCCATCTCACATGTATGGCTATATATAGGAGGGCTTATGTATTTTGGAAATAAGATAAGAGAAAAGAGAACAACTCATTTCATTCCTCTCTAAATTTGTTCTCCATATTCTTACATACATATTTTTGATGGTGAAACTAGTTATTATATAACACGTTATTAGCACGACTGTCTCTAAAAGCTATCAAGGACTAGGTAAGAAACTTCACATTGATCATAACATTGTTTTTGTGGTAAGACATTGTCATTTGTATTTGTTTCTATATTTTGTTCTTGCGTGATTGTTTGAATTTCACAATCTATATATTTTATAGTTTACTATGTCGAATCTTGCCAAGCTTGATTTCACGGCTCTAGGTATTTCGGGCAAGAATTATTTGTCATGGGTGCTAGGTGCTGAAACTCACTTGAATGCCAATGGACTTGGTGATGCGATCAAAGAAAAAACAATGCATCTAGCCAAGATAAAGCTAAGGCTTTGATTTTCATTCACCGCCACCTCCATGAAGGTCTAAAGGCTGAATACCTTATTGATAAGGATCCCCTTGTTCTTTGGAACAAACTAAAAGAAAGATTTGATCATCAGAAAATAGTGATCCTCCCTAAAGCTCGTTATGAGTGGTTGCACCTAAGGTTACAAGACTATAAAAGTATTTCTGAATATAATTCTGCCATGTTTAGAATCACATCACTGTTACTGTTGTGTGGAGAAAAAGTAACAAATGAAGAGGTACCAGAGAAAACATTCTCTACATTTCATGCATCAAATGTGCTGCTTCAGCAGCAAATACCGCCAGAAAGGATTCAAGAAATATTCTGAACTTATTTCTTGTTTGCTTGTGGCTAAACAAAACAATGAGCTTTTGATGAAAAACCATGAGACACGTCTAAGTGGTTCAAATCCACCCCTGAAGTAAATGCAGCAAGATATGATAATCAAAATAGTGGGAGTGGACGCGATTGTGGTCGTGGCCGCGGACGCGGACGCGGGCGTGGTCGTGGATATGGACATGTTCATGGCAGAGAAAATTATGGTGTCCAATTCAAGAACACAGGAAATTTCCATAAGAAACAAGAAAGGGGAGATAAAGATAAAGGTGAAGTTGATGAAACAAAAAATGCACATCATCGTTGTGGTGAAAGATCTCATTGGACACACAACTATCGCACACCAAAATATCTTGTTGATCTCTATCAAGAATCACTTGAGAAGAAGAACAAAAAGATGGAGACAAACTTTGCAAGTGGTAGTGCTGATAATTTTTTTGACGATAATATATTTAGTGCGACAAATATTAGAAAATATGACCACAACACCACAACTCATCTTGATGTTTCTAATTTCTTCATCGAAGAATAAATGATCTTGTCGTTAATTCTTCTTCATGCACGAATAAGTGCAATGTAACAGTAGTATTAATGAATCATATTTCATCTTATAAAGTAATGAATAAATTTGTATTATGTTTGTATTTAATCAATATTCATTTTCGTATGTTTCACTACATAATAATTGTTTTTCAATAGTTAGTAATATTTATTAGTATGTTTTATTTTGAAGAGAATGGATGAACCATTTCCTCAAGAGCTTGCAAGTGAAGAAAATATATGTATTGTAGATAGTGGAACAACACATACTATCTTGAAGAGTAAAATGCATTTTTCCTGTCTTACATTGCAAGATGCAGTTGTTCATACTGTATCTGGAAGTGCTAAATTGATAGAGGGCTCAGGAAGAGCCACAATAATGTTATCTTATGAGACAAAGGTAGACATAAACAAAACACTTTATTCCCCTAAAGTCTCAAAGAAATTTGTTGAGCTTTAAAGATATACGTCGAAATGGCTATCATATAGAGACAATGTGTGAGGGTATTGCGGAGTACCTCAACATTACAAAGATATCATCGGGGAAAAAGTATGTGTTGGAGAAATTACCAGAATTACCTTCTGATTTATACTATACAAGTCTCAAAGAGAATGAGTCATATATGGTGGTGGAACAAAAGTTCACCAACCATAGCAATTTTCTTATTTTGCATGACCGGCTAGGCCATCCCGGATCAGTAATGATGCGAAAAATTATTAATAGTTCATGTGGGCATAAACCGAAGAATGAAAAGATTCTTCAATCGAATGACTTTCCATGCATCGCATGCTCTCAAGGGAAACTGATTGTACGACCATCACCGGGTAAAATTGGACATGAGTCCCTCGTTTTTCTGGAACGCATACAAGGAGATATATGTGGACCAATTCATCCACCAAGTGGCCCATTTAAATATTTTATAGTTTTAATTGATGCATCAACTAGATGGTCACACGTCTTCTTACTATCAACCCGCAACGTAGCGTTTGCGCGGCTATTGGCTCAAATAATCAAGTTAAAAGCTCAATTTTCAGATAATCCGATCAAAACTATATGCTTGGATAATGCCGGTGAATTTACATCAAATAGTTTCAATGAATATTGCATGTGGATTGAAATAAGTGTTGAACATCCAGTTGCACATGTTCATACACAGAATGGTCTTGCAGAGTCATTTATTAAACGTCTCCAATTAATAGCAAGACTATTACTTATGAAGTCAAAACTCCCAATGTATGCATGGGGACATGCTATTTTACATGCAGCGGCATTAATTCACATCAGGGCAACAAGTTATCATAGTTCTTCCCCTCTACAATTGGTTTTTGACATAGAGCCAGATATTTCCCGTCTAAGAATTTTTGGATGTGCGGTGTATGTCCCAATTGCTCCACCAAAACGCACAAAGATGGGACCTCAAAGAAGGTTGGGAATATATATTGGGTATGAATCCCCATCTATAATAAAGTATCTTGAACCATCAACGGGAGACATATTTACAGCAAGATTTGCTTATTGTCATTTGATGAATCAAATTTCCCAACAACAGAGGGAGAAAATAAACAGCTGAATAGAGAAATAAGCTGGAATGAATTATCAATATCTTATTTTGATTCTCATACAAAACAATGTGAGCAAGAAGTTCAAAGGATAATTTATTTACAAAGTTTAGCAAATAATCTGTCAGACGCTTTTACAGACTTAAAAAGAGTGACTAAGTCGTATATTCCAGCTGCTAATGCTCCTGAAAAAATTAATGTCCAAGAGGGATAACCATGTACTGCTAATGAGTCAAAGGCTACTATAAAACATGGTAGACCATTGGGTTCTAAAGATAAAAATCCTCAAAAACAAAAGGGGCAAAGAATCAAGATGGTCAAATCGAGAAAATAATAATTCAAGAAAAATCTCCTGAAGGAAATTACGACATGACTTAAGAGGAGACAAATGTACCTAATTCTTCAAAAGATGAGATCTCATTAAACTATGTCATGTCGAGAAAAATTTAGAACCGTGACAAAGTTATCATCGATGATGCATTCGCATATAATCTAACGCTAGAAGTTATGGATAAAAAACCTCACTTAGTCGAGGAATGCAAAGAAAGAAAAGATTAGCCAAAATAGAATGATGCAATTCAAGCAGAATTAAATTCTCTCGCAAAATGAGTTTTCGGCCTGTAACTCGTATACCAAATGGTGTCAAACCCGTTGACTATAAATGGATATTTGTTAGAAAACAAAATGAGAAAGAAGAAATCACAAGATATTAGGTACGATTGGTTGCCCAAGGATTCCCTCAAAGACCTAGAATTGATTATGAAGAAACATGCTCTCTCGTGATGGATGCAATAACTTTTAGATATCTTATAAGTCTGGCAATGAAAGAGAACCTTGACTTGCATCTAATGGATGTTGT